CCTTTATAACAGGAGTGCAAATATTCCGCTTACGAAACTTTAAAATCAACCCTCGTACAAATATTATTCTTTAAATTTCGTTTGAGTATGCAAAATCTTCTCGAATGTTACACATTTTTGGTGGTTCTCGCCTCGAATCCAAATCATCTACGCTTTAAGCGGAGAAATCAATTGCAGTGCATAACCGAATTAAAGCTGACAGACGAAATAATTTCCTGTGCCGCTGATGGAAATTCTGTTTACATAATTAAATTGACATTAAAGATGCCGTTAACTTATCTCGTTTCGTTTATAAGCTAAGCAGAACCAAGAGCAGAAGTAGCGGCAGCGGAGCGACAACGTCAGCGGTAGTCAAGAGATAAAAGTAAACAAACCAACTGTGTAAGGCCACGGCTGGGGCGAAAGGGCGCAGGGAAGGACATTATAAACTTTGCAGAAGAAACGGTTTCCGTAACCGATTTGCGCCGACCGAAAAGTAAATTAAAAACACATTAAACACATGCGTGGATATTAAATGAAAATCCAAACCCAACCGAACCATACGAACCATGCGAGCCCAACAGATACATTGGTTGGATATGTGCATTTGTAGGATGTGTGTGCCGTTTACAGATACATGTCGCGGATACATGCTGTGTGTTGCTTCCGAGTTTCATTACGAATGTTTGTAGTTGCATTGAAATTGGAAAAATTGAAGGAATCAAAACAAAAGCAGCAAGGCTAGATTAATATTTGCCAGCGTATGTGGCAAAGTAATATACTCCACAAATATAGATACAGTAGCAGTTCACATAGATTCGCACACACATGCATGCCGCAGTCTTGCCACATTCTTGTCTTAGAAGTTTGCTGAAATGCATGCAGCCAGGCACTTTGCCGAATATGTGTTTTTTCCGGGTTGTCTGAGGAAACTTAATAATAATAAGGAAATCAAACTTTTCTTTTGCAATATTTGTTCTCATCCCTCCTACCTAAAAGTTCAAGAGCTTGATGTATGTTTTTCCTATAATTTTTTATTTTTTGTAGTCCCCGAAATCGTCTCACCGTCTCACCATCTCACCTCTCCGTGGCAACCTCCAGCTATGTTCGCTTGCCTGTGAGTCTGTTGAAGTGAAACTTAAAATCGATGAAAACGCTCCTTCGCTTCGCTTATTTAGTACACAATTTGCTGCTGAACTGAACTCCACTGAGCTGAACTGAACTAACTTAGTATCCTTTTTTCGGAACGCTTGACTTGAATTCAACTTTCTTTTTGTGAGCTTATTTTTTCTCTGACGGAATTGATTTTTCCTTTTCTGTGTTAAATTAGTGTCGGAAATAGCGTCGACATGGTTGTAGGTGAAGACTAAGGTGAAGGCGAAGGAAAAGGTTGTACGCAATGGAAAGGACAACGGCAAGGAAGGTGTGCTCTATAAACACAAAATTTATTCATCTTTTTTTTCCAAAAGTTTCCAATTCAGTTCGATACGACTCAAATCCGTTTTCTTCCTCAATCTTTTCTTGCATTTTTTGTATTTACTTGTAAATGTCTTATTCTTCGAACTTAAATAATCCACTTTATGGATAACTCATTCCTTGCGAAAGTTGAAGTCTAAGCATTTAAAGTGTAATTACTACAAGAAGTTGCTGCTCTAGTTTTCATCCAATTTTAATTACAGATTTTACTTCTTTTTTGTGAAGTGAACGAAAACTTTGCTACTTTCCTGCGGAAAGTGTAACCAAAGACTTATTTTCTAGCTGAGATACAAGATATATCTCAACTAATTCAACAATGAAAAAACAGGGATTGACTAGTAAGTATGAGTTTTTGACAAAATCATTAATATTCATTAGAAGACAAAATGTAGAGATCAAATTAGCAAAGTGTTGGTATACATACTGATATACCATACATATATATGATATACATATTCCATGTGGTGCTTCCTTTATGGTTACCAAAGATTGAAAATCAGACTATTTCAATCTTTCAGACAATCTTCACTCTAATTACAGAGAAGTATATGAAGTCTTTCATCCATAGATGCTAGTATGTAATCACATAAAGGTTGACAATCAGATCATTCCGCCATTCCTAAAGAAGCCTGCTTGGTTTATTTAGTTAGAAAACAGAAAAATTCTAACTTTTGTCCTAAAACGTTGGGATCAATAAGCTTCCCGGACAGTAAAGAAGGGTATAGTACTAAAATTTATCATTTGAAAAATCATAATTAATTAAATTCTAGATCAATTATTATATAGCTAGTTTGTAATTTCGTCTTAATATAACACAGCAAGTGAATTTGTTAAATGAACTTATGTAAAACTCATAGAGTGGTTTCATGTCAAGTGATAAATTAACACTATAACACTAAATCTGGTGTGCAAATTTGGCGGAGTACAAACTGAAGTTTTAGTACTTGTAGTCTAAAAAACTTTTGTGGACTCCAAACACCCATAATGTTTGGCAGAGTCAGCTAAAAATTCAGTCAATTAAAAAGAAGAATTTTCTGAAAGTTGATAACTTTTGCCGAAAGCTACGCTTCTTATGACAGCTACTTTGTCTTTATAGGGGCCGATGTCATTTTAGAATTTAGAAGGATTCGACTAGCAAAGAAATTCGATTCCGAATTGAGCTTGTCTCTTCTTTGCGATATAATTCGTTCTAAATTCTAAAATGTCATCGGCTCTTATAGCACAGGCATTTAATTAAAAAAATTTTGGTCGAATTATAACTCCAAAATTTTCGAGAAAAAAATGTATACAACGGAATTTAATATATATCTATGTCACCGGTCTTTTGACTTTCTTTGTTCATTGATACTTTTTTGTAGTAAAACAACCAGGTGAAGGAAGGTGAAAGGTTTAGGTGAGCAACGATATGGGAGCACTCGGAACTACCAACGGGCGACAGCAAACTACTGATCGGAATGGTTGGCAGAGACTATTTGACTCGGCCAAGGACGACAGACGTTGGTGATGGCCAACTAAGTACTATAAGTACGTAAAACAATCACCTTTGATCTATTTAAGATTTGTTGATAATATTAAATAAAAGATCAATAATTTTGCTAATTTAAAATGTAAAAATAATAGAAAAAATCTTAATTATTGCCAGAGTGCCGCAATATTTTTTTATTGTGAACGCTTAGCCAAACCAGCAGTGGAAGAATGTCAAGTTTTGTGTTGAATCCATATTTATTTAAAAATCCACTTAAATATTTTATTTTATTATTAAATTATTTCATTGTTTAACTTAACAGAACTAACCACCAAAAATGTTCGATTAATGAACAAATGAACAAATGAACAAATAAACGAGTGACTTTAAAAAATTCCTTTGTTCATTTTTCAGTTATTTACTTTTTTTATTGTTTGGTTAATGCATATGTGCAGAACGCATTAACGTATTAACGCAACCGCAGCATCACGCATAGAACATTAAATAGAATTAATTACCAACAACAAAACAACAAAACAACAAATACAACAACACAAAAAGCTTCGACCGGCATGCAAATAAATTGTTGTTGACAAGCAAAACACTCAAAACTCTCAAAAATAATGAACCGAAAAAAAGCAAAAGTGCCAACAACACAACAACCGCAGTTTAAGGGAAATTAAAGATACTCAACAGTAACAAGAACAAAAGCGGACGAAAACTGAGTTTTGTCTTTTTGTTTTACGTTAAAAACTGCTCTGGTGGCAGAGCAGTAGGCGTCGCAAAATAATTAGGAAGAATCTGTTATCTTAAGATAAGCACTGCAAAAACTATGAAGGGGGAGTGCGATTGGATAGTACTTGCTAGTGTTAACAACATAGCTCCATCGCTGCGGCGTCACTTGTTACCTGCACTAACGCAGCAACAACAATGCAAATTGCTCATGAAGGCATGCAGAAAGCTCAGTTTCGTTTTTCGTTTCAAGGAACTTCTTATGCGTTGGAATACTAAACCAAAAATAAAAACTCAAAGGCTCAACGTGATCACAGTTCTTGCTTAATAGACAGTCAAACAATAATTACTCTGTTATTAACATGTATAGATCCTATGCGGCTAAATGCTATATGTTAACAGCATATTAATTAGTTATATATGTACAAAACAAAATGTGCAATAGTAAATTGTTAACCGCTGTTAACTGCATGCTGATCAAAAACATAAAAATATTTCTTTGTTTTTGCTTCTGATAAACAAGCCTTAAAATGTTAAAACATAAAATAAGTATTGTACAGTCCTATGCATCATTTATTAATGTTATAAGGACACTTTCTTAGAGTTTACATTATATTTTAACATCAAAAAAAACTTAGAGTCTCTATGAGACTATACGGACTACCGCATCATAAATGCAAACTATTAAAAAGGATGCATTGGCATAGGAAAGTACATATTATGTGAGGGAAAGACTGAAATTATTTTTATAATTTTATCAATGCTGTTTATTTATTAAAAACAATATAAAATCAATTAAATATTAAGAATGTTGAGAAGAATGTGAAATTTATAAAATTACAGTGCTTTCATTAAATAAACCATTTAATAAAACAGTAAACAAAAAGGAAAGGAACGCTGTTTCCTAAATCAATACGTAATAAATAAATTTGTTTTGGTGCACAAAAAGTTCAATTACTTTTACATAATTCTATATTTACGATAATATTTATGACGTCATATGAGCACTGAAAAGCGCTGGCACTGCGGGCGGCACTTAGCGCAATGTGAAAGTAGCAGAACACAAACAACAAAAAATGCAAGAATCACTAACCTAACCATTGCTTAGTTGAGCGGCTTAAATGCAGTAGCAGCAGCAGCAGCAGCATCTGGAAAGCGTCTTAAGCGACAGTGAGCAGCGCTGGGGCTGCATAGTAGATGCGCTTCTTAAGCGCAACTCAATAGTGAAAAGCGCTGCTAGCGCTAATAAAAACAACAGTAAAGTCCAGGAATTCCACTGCTGGTGTGTTAAACGTGGAGCAGCGCTGGTGCTGAGTTGCTACAGAAAAATAGGAACACTAACACTTACCCAAAAGTGATTTGCTTTTTGCCGGTGAATTTTAATTTATGACAATTTGCACACGTGTTTTTGTTATTGGTTTTGAATGAAGTTTTTTTTTTTGATATTTATTTACCCGTAATTCATGTGTTAGGCAACTGTTTGCATGTGTTTGTATTTTAAGTATTTTTTAAGTATTTTAATAAATTTTAAGTTTTCGCCATTTAGTTTGTTTGATTAGCTTTAGCTTTTTCGCACCTACCGCCGCCAACAACATTAAAAAGCCGATTTATTCAGCCAATTTACGCAAACAAACCGAAACCCAAACGCGCACACGTTATAACGTCACCGAGCGTTTCGATTCGACTGGTTTTTTGCTGTGCAATTTCCGTTTCCTTGGAGCAAGCGGGCCAACGTAAATATGCCTGTTTGCTACTACTGTACTGTACTGTTCGTTGCTGCTGTTTGCTGTTTGCTGGTTTCGTAAGTATCGTACGTATCGTACGTATCGTAAGTTTCGTAAGTTTCGTGCTGGACGGGGGAGGTTGTGTGTTCGGTTCGCTCGTTTAATAAACCTAAAACGTAAAACGTAAAAGCATGGAAAACGATTTGGATTTGTACGTTACCGTTTTGAACGCGCGGCTCCACTGGAGTTAAATTTTCGTGAAATTTACTTGTTACGTACTGTGCAAAAGCCATCGGCCATATTAAGCCAGGCATATGCTCACATTATTGAGTGTATGCACAGTGAAGAGCACCTGAGCAGCAGCAGCTCCAAATGTAAACACAAACACAAACGCAAACACAACACAACATACGCCATAATACAATAAGCAAACCGAATGACAACTTTGAATTCGTTTTATGCTCTCTTTACATTTGCAATTTATTGCTCTAAATATTGGCAATGTCTTCCTCTTCCATATGCGCCGTCATTTGTGCTGTGTAATAAAAACCGTTGCAATCTCATACAAAGTGTACAAAGTGAAGAGAGCGCAGAAACTTAAGTTAATTTAAGAGTAAATCCACTTGACGAAGCAATAGACTGTGTGCGCCACACTTGCTTTGCAGTGTTTGAGTTTCGGTTTTCTGTGCTGCATATAAGAGTTTTTTTTTCTATGCTACAATTCAAATACAAGCCCAACCACACATTGTTTACTCATTGCTACTCAAACGCAGCTAAATTTGAGTGACAGTTTCGAATTAATGATGTTTTGAGCATTTTTAGTTGAGTAGTTGAGTGTACTCTTACTAAAGAGTAGAAACTGTCTGGCATTTCATTTTTAAACAAAATAATTCGGCAAAATTATGAAAAGAACTAAATCTAAACTAAATGTTACCGAAATTTCAAATCAAAAAGAAGTTTTCATAAAAATATTCAATTACTTTTTTATATTTACTCTTACATTTTAATGAATTTCATTTAAAATTGCAAACAAATTATTTTACAATTCATTTTAATTTTTCATAGCGAAAAATTTTTCATTCTTAAAATTTAAATTATTTTACTTCTAATTCACATACTTTTGTTTATTTTAAATTTTCTTATTTTTTTATTTACGGTTTTATTTAAATTTTTCACTCATTTCATTTCACCTGTCCATTAAATATTTAAAATTATTGATTGCAATTTGTTGCTTTTTCTTTCTTTTCTACTTCTGCCGTTATTCTTTACAAAAATGTACTCTTCTCCTCTGCATCGGCAGTTGGCGGCGTCCTCTTTTAACCGTTAACGCTCACATTGTACCGTTACTGAGGAAGTTACAACGCTTGACGTGCACAGACGACATTTTAAGAGAAACATCCTACCGTCCCTTATAATTGAATTATATAGCAGAGTTGCCAGGTTTTTGAGTTTAAGTTGTGGAACAATTCGAACTCAGTGAAATGCAATTTAAAGTAAAAAATAATTTTATTTAATTAATCTAATTTTATTGTAAATATTGTTAATGCTATAATAATTGCAACTACAGTTTCTTGTAGTCACCATCACAATTATTGGTGTCAGTGCTCATGCACACATTCCCAACATTGAGGAATGGCTCATAAGAAAACAAGGTAAAGTGCATATTAAGCGGCCATGGATGCCTCCTTGAATATCTTCACCGACTTAAGCTGGTAGATTTGCTCTACTGCCCAAGCTGTCAAAATGTTGTCGAAACATGTGGTCTTTACAACGACCGCTTTGAAAAGACACAACAACTCCTGGAATAAAAACATTCGCAACACAAATCAAGTGGCACCTTAGACATGTCGAAGAGGAACGCAAAGCTCTATCAAAGTTCGCAGAACAGAAAAAAAATTCAACGATCATATATGAAAACACATTGATTGATGACAGAAATTTGATATTTGGATGGCCTCTTACAAAATATTAAATTGGTGGTTCTAAGACGGTTAAAATAGGGCGATTTCAGTGGGTTGCAGTCTCTCACGCATTTATGCTTTCAATTGCTTTACACATTGTTAAAAAAAATAAAAAAGAGGGTGTTAATACTGACATAGTAGTACTCAAACACTTATTCAAATGTGTAGGTGTAACATGTGTAACAGCTCCACAATAAAACAAATACAGTCTAAAGCAGTCGATTATATCCGTAAGAACGTAAGAACGACTACTCATACCATTCAAAAACCTTCCTTTCTTTTTGATTTTAAAATATCAAAAGTTTTAGTTAGGGTTTGCGATGATCAGATGCTATCTCAACGTAGGCGCAGTTATAGGTCTTGTTTGGAAAAGAAACCGTAACTATATAGATATTTACCAAAACTGACAGACTTACCAACACTGCGTTATCAAATCTCAGAATGGTTACAGGCTCCTCGGGGTGGTATGCAGATCTGAAATCAATTATTGCTAATGGACCAGCTGAATGACAGTGGGAAACAGAGTTTCGAATAACATGATTTAATATTGTAATGAAATCGCTTCGATCGATCCAGAAATGTTGGAACTTTATCCCCAATGGAATATCCATGACATGATACATCATGATATATCAAGACATGATATATCAAGACATGATATATCAAGACATGATATATCAAGACATGATATATCAAGATATGACATATCAAGACATGATATATCAAGACATGATATATCAAGACATGACATGATATATATGTATACTAAAGAAGATTGGAAAAAGAGTAGTAAGACCTTATAAAAACTCAATACAGCACAACATATAAACATATATTCCTTTTCCTAGCGGCAGGTAAACTCTAGTTTTGCTCTCTCTTATATCAACTCCGTATACTCATAAGAAGATATGAATTGTTTCTTGGGAGCGGCTTGATATTGGCACACAACGGTTTGTGAGTTTCGGAAACAGCAGCACACGAACTCAGCACGGCTTGCCGTCAATTTATTTACTACTGTTTGAAACGATGATATTAAAGGCTGAATAACAATAAATGATTATTAAAAAACGAAATAAAAATAACCTATTTATATATGTAAATAGTATACAATACTATATAAATATAATACTGTTGCTCTTCTAGCTGAGACCGCTTTGGGTACAAGAGTTTTTCGGATCCGATCCGTGTTCGTCACATATGGAAAATTAGTTAAAAATTAGATAAAAAACGTTCTAATAAACTTTGCACCAATTTTTGATATTAGTCTGTATCGATATATATACTCAGTTTTCACTGCAGCAAATTCGTATTCTGACATTGTATTTGTGTGGACAGGACCAATCGGTTCAGCTTGGTTAGGCTTTAGCCACTGAATATTTATTAACTCAACAAAAAAGGTTGTTAAAAGGTCAAATCCCGAAAATGATGTTTCTAACATTCAAAAGTATTTTCTCGAATAAAATAATTACTGCGAAATGTCACTAAAATTACGGATCTTACGGTCAATCAAATTAGATCTTGATTATAATCGACAAATAACGCCAATACTTATATATTAAATGGGCTTAACACTTGTGCCTAGTTTGCCGTACAATGTTTTCTTTTTTATTATAAATAAGGTATTCGCTTTACCTTATTCTATTTACAAGATATTTTGTTTGATTAACGAGAGTTGTTACCGCGTCGCTTGTTATTGTGTTGTTATTATGCCAAATGGTATCGTTGAATTGAATACTAGATGGCGCTGAAGCATACGTGGTTGTGACTGTGAAGCCTAGCTGAAGCAGCTCTTATGTATTTTCCAGACCCCAAAGCAGCTCTAGTTCTCAAAACAGAAGCCTCTGACACCACAATCGGAACAGTTTTAGAGCAGTTCGTCAAAAATCAATTCATGCCAATTGGTTTATTTTCAAGAAAATAAATTCATGCAACCACTGTTAAATTTTTCCAGCACATTTTAAAAGATCGTCCATTTATAACTAAAACCGATCACAAACCTCTCGTTTAGGCATTGCACAGGAAGACGGAGCAAGCTTAACCTAGACAACTTCGCCAGTTGTCGTTTATATCACAATTCGACACAGAGCTGACACATTGTCTAGAATCATCCAGATTGACAGGCCACAAATTCTCAGTTAACACGAAATTCAACAAGCTCAAGCCAATGATGATGAACTTCAAGATTTGTTTAAATATCCCAACTCTTCATTAAAACTACAGCGGCTTAACGTTGATCCAGAACAAAACACCTTTATTTACGGCGACATCTCTTCTGGAACTATAAGACCATTCATTCCTAAACAGATTCGTAAAGCCGCTTTTGACACGGTTCATGAATTAGTTCATCCTGGAGGTAGATCAACAAGTAAACAGTTGAGAACTAAATTTGTTTGGCCAGGAATCAGGCAAAATGCTTTAGCATGGTCATGTAGTTGTTTATCCGGCCAAAGAGCCAAGATACAACAGCACAACAGACTCAAGCCCAATCATATTGAAGTACCAAGTACTAGGTTCAATCATATCCACATTAATCTCATCAAACTGTCAACAGTTGATGGATTCAGGTATTGTCTCACAGTAGTAGACAGATTTTTCCGTTAGCCAGAGGTCATAGTTGCAACAGCTTTATATGACAATTGGATATGCCGTTATGGCACACATTTATCAATTACTTCGAATCAAGATACTTTGTTCGAGTCAGCCCTATTCACTGCAATGGTGAAACTAATTGGCGCTTCCCGTATCAGAACAACACCATACCATCCAGTGCATGCACCGAACATTAAAACCAGCTCTCATGTGCCATCCATAAGTTCCTTGGACATAACGCTTATCAACTGTGCTCCTTGGACTCTGAACTTGTGTTAAAGAACATTTAAACGCCTCATCTGCAGAATTACTTTGGAACACAGCTGCGTGTTCCCGGAGAATTTTTCGTCAACGAAGATATGCCAGCAGATCCTCAAGTGTTTGTTGAAAAGTTAAGAGAACACATATGAAGTATCAGACCAATTTCAACGGCTCATCGCACAAAAGCTAGAACCTTCACGCTTTAAGATCTACACATATTTTCAAGACTTGATGGAGTTCAAAAACTACTCGAACCACCATATTCAGGACCACACAAAGTTATGGAAAAAACGAATAACAGAAAATGCTGGTTTTAGAAAGACTAAAATTTTGAGTCTGAGGTATATACCTATATATATATATAAATATATATATATATTTAAATGACTGAAAGACAATCCATACAAA